AAGTTGAAAGACAAAGCTGAGTGATCCTTCCAGAGAGTGAAGTAAGAGGGCAAAGAGAGAGAAAGGGGAAGAGGGAAAGAAAGAAAAGAAGGAAGTTAGAAAATCAACTGAGAACATCCAGTTTCATACAAAAGGAGCCCCAGAGAGAGAAGAACTCGAAGAAATAACTGAAGGAAGTAACTAACTGAAGAAATATCTGGTGGCCTAGTGGCAAGAAGGTGCACTGCAATCCCAGAGGTATGTGGTTTGAATCTACCAGATGCTCTGCTGAAGGAGGGGCGATCTCCTCCTGTACCAGTCAGATCCAATTTGACTGTACAGACACAAAAAATAATTTAAAAAAAAAATTAAAAAAGAGAAATGATTGAAGGACATTTCCACACAAAAAAAATACGTGTGTCCAGATTGTAAGGATCCACTAAATATCCAGGTTAGTAGATGAAACCTGATTAATGCCAAGCCACGTTTTCTTGGAAGTTTCTGAACACTCAGACAGAAAAAAGATCCGACAAGATGTCACAGAAAATATCAATAATAGATTTGGCATTGGATTTCTCAGTACCAACTAAAAGACAGTGGATCATAAAACTTCAAAATTCCAAGGGAAAATAATTTCATGCTTTGAAATCTATATTCTGTCATGTTGTAAATTGGCGTATGAATGGAGAAAGCTGAAGGGTCAGCAAAGTAGAGGAAGACCCCCAATGACATGGATTGACACAATAACTGCTGCAGTGGACTGAAGTGTGGCAGAGATGACGAGGGTCGCACAGGGCAGGGCTTGGAGCTGTTGTTCATAAGGTCTCCATGGGTTGTACTTGACGGCGCCTCACCACCACCACCCATCAGTCAGTGTGTTGTACTGCAGTGGTTTATATGTTGCTAGAAGCTCTGCCACCAATATCTCCAGTATCAACAAGGCCACCATGGAGGACAAGTTTCAACAGAATTTCCAGACAGAGAGAGACTAGGAGAGATGGCCTGGAAATCTCCTTCCAAAAGTTAGCCAGGAGAAGCTTACAAATTACAACAGAAATTGCTTGCTTTGGATATGCCATTAGAGGAACCAAACAGTTAGGACATGTTTGATGAAGCAGAGGGTCAGCAGGGCTGAGGGGGATCTTCAGTGAGGTGAACTGGCACAACGTTGCAATAATGGACCTGAACCATGAGGAAGATGTAGCTCTGGGCAATGATTTATTCTATTCCATATCAGGGCATCAAGAATTAGTCAACTTAATTTTAACTATGAGATATCTATGGTCTCACCCCAGTAAGAATAGCAAAATTTAACAGAGCAGCTAGCAACAAATGCTGGCGAGGTTGTGGAGAAACTGGAACCCTTATTTACTGTTGGTGGGAGTGTAAAATGATGCAACCACTGTGGAAGCTGTATGGCGCTTTCTTAAAAGGTTGCAAATAGAAATACCATTTGAGCCAGCAATACTACTTCTGGGGATTTACCCTAAAGAGACCATAACTGACATCCAAGCAGATATATGCACACCCATGTTTACTGCGGCTTTGTTTGCAATAGCAAAGAGCTGGAAACAACCCAAGTGCCCATCAACAAATGAATGGATAGAGAAGCTGTGGTATATTCACACAATGGAATACTATGCAGCACTGAAAAACAAGGAACTCATGAAATACTATGCTAAGTAGATGACCCTGGAGGACATTATGCTGAGTGAAATATCTCAGTCACAAAAGGACAAGTATTGCACAGGACCACTATTGTAAAACAGGACTGACATTGGGGTTGAGGGAAGACAGAGAAAAAGGGGAGGAATAATGTATACTGCATTGCAACAGATGAAGGAGAGACCTGTTTAAAAGGCATATATGATTAGGTATTATTGTCATGACAAGAGTCCAGAATGAAGGCTGCGCAGTGCAGTGGACTTGGGGGGAAGGACTGCATAGAGTTTTTATTTTACTCATCAAGGAGAAAAGTGAATTGGGGGGAGGGGATGGGCAGGGAGAAAAGTACAACAATGAATGACTGGAAACCCTAAGTCTCTGTAAACTTTTATTAAAATTAATTAAAAAAGGGGGGAGAAGAATTAGTCAACTTGACAGCATCTATCTATCTATCTATCTATCTATCTATCTATCTATCTATCTATCTATCTATCTAGTTTTCCATCTACAAGATCACATGTTCTCTCTCTTACAAAGTAACTGGAGAACATAAATATAACTGTCTTGAGGGGAGATACATCCAAGTCCCTATCTATCAGAATTCTGTATGAATGAGTAATGTAGATGTAGATCAGGTTAACCAACTCAGCAAGATATTTAATAACTTCTAAGAGAGAAAAGAAAAAGTGCTCATTTCACTATTTCATGTGGTTCAACTCTACTACATTATTCTAACTATGGAAACACAGAACATTATTACTCATATCAAAATGATAATAAAACTACAAAGACAGGGAGAGAAGAAAGCCTCTGTGTGTGTGTGTGTGTGTGTGTGTGTGAGAGAGAGAGAGAGAGACAGAGAGAGAGAGAGGAGAGAAATGGACTGAGAATTGGGGCTCAAAGGCATGGGTAGGTGAAAAAGAACAAAATCCTCACTTCCCACATCAAGCTGTTATTAGATAATCCTAACACTGAAAAATCAAGAACTGCCAAAGTAAGGCATGAAATAGCCTCAAAGTTAGACCAAACGGATTAGCTAAATGGTTGAAAGCAGCCATTTGTCACTAAGTAGTGACAAACAGGGTCAGTGGGAGAGAAGAAGACAGCTGTTTTTTCATTACAAGCTTTTTAAGGACTTTCAGTGTCTTTAAGTTATGTACAAGCATAATGCTGATTTTCTAATAAATGAGAAATTAAACAAATTACAAAAACATCTTTGAGAGCATGCTCCCTATCCATACTCATCAAAACATAGTCACAGAGTCAATTTGGATGGAGTCAATTCGGACTCCAGGACAGAGCTAACCCAGGCCCTAGGCTTCCCGAACCAGCAGTCTTTACAGAAGCCCACTGCCTCCTGAGGAGCGGCAGTGAGTTCAAAGCACTGCCCTTTCAGTTAGCAGTTGTGAGCTTTAGCCACTGCACCACCAGGGCTCCTCTCCCTCCTCACAGTCCCTTTAAAATGTTCCTAGAAGACAATAATAGCTCTTCTGTTCTGTAAAACAATTTTGCAAAATAAAATAACATAAAGGGAATAGTAAAAAAAATTATAAAAGGCCTTCTCGCTTTCCCCTCAGAGATGACTCATACAATTAAGATTCTGTGCTAGTAACTGGTAGAATGACTAATAACGCGGCCTCCCAGCTCCTTCTGTTGTGCTCTGTCACCTTCACCTTGCTGAAGCATTACTCATTTACAGAGAAATCGTGAGTAGTTAATGATGTTATAATGTACCTAAGAATGACCACCAGGATGAGAAGATGTTCCCTGATGATTATGGGAAGGAGAACCACCCAAAGGGCTCAGAGGAAAAGAGAGCCAGCTAGTCAAAATAAGAAGGTTCAGCCCTGCGTTTCTGTAACAGGTTCCTGACTTCCAGATGTGCCTCTTCACATGCTTCTCAGTACAATCAACCCTATATGACCAAAAACAAGCACAGAAGGCAGGCGTGGGCAGGAAAAGCAGGCGAGTGGAAAGCCGGAATTGAAGGAGGATGGGCGAGTGGAAACAAAGTCAAAGGAGGAGTGCTGTTACACTGAGGGGACAGCAACTAACGTCACAAACCGAAATGTGTAGGAATTGTTGAACAGGGGACTAACGCACTCTGTAAACTTAACACCCAAACAATAAAAAAAAGTTCAAACACAAAATGTGTCTCTTCTTAAACAGACATACTTTAGTACTTTTATACAGACTGTTGTTGTTGTTAGGTGCCATTAAGCTGAGTACAACTCACAGTGACCCTGTCCTACCGTGTCCCATCCTCATCAACGCTGACACACTAGAACCCATGGCTAGGGTCGTTGTGTCAATCCATCTGGTTGAGGATCTTCCTCTCCTTCACAGATCCTTCTTTCACCTTCCCAAACATGATGTCCCTCTCCAACAAACAGCCTCTCCTATCAACGTGCCCAAACTATGTGAGATGAAGCTTCACTATCCTTGCCTCTAAGATGAACTCTGACTGCATTTTCTCTAAGAAATACCTATTTGTTCTTTTGGCAGTCCCTGCGATATCCAGCACACTTCTCCAATACCATAACTCAAAGGCATAGATACTTCTGTCATCTTTATTCACTGTCCAGTTCTCAAAAGTATAATAGACGAGATTGGAAAGATCAGGGCTTGAATCAGATGCACCTTAGTCTTTAAATTTACATCACTGCTCTTTAGGACTTTGGAGAGGTCCTTGACAGCAGACTTTCCCAATGCTATACGTGTTTCATTCTCCTGACTGCTGTTTTCAAGGGTGTTGATTGTGGACCCAGTAATATGAAATCATTGACAATCTCAATCTCTTATCCATCTATCTATTTAGTTTCAATCTCTTCTCCATCTGTAATTATACAGACATACTTATTTACATACCTAGTACTTCTGAGTAATAAAGGTGTTATTGCTCAAATCTGTAGTTGTAACTACACAAACAAGGGCTAATCACTTTTAGAGCTTCAAAAAGTTAGTGTCTTTTTAGGCTTTGTCCTTATGAAGTCAATTATTGATTTGCTATCCCAATTTGAAAATCCTAGCTTGGCTTCCCTTATCCATTTTACACATAGGTGGAGCGGTTCCTGGGTCCCCCACCCTTTTCCTCACCCTAAATTCATGAGATGCAGTGACTGCAAAGGTCAACATTTACTTAATAGTAATCAGCACAATTGAGTAATCCACTTTAGAAAATCACCAAGCATTCTGAACTATTTCTATTTTCTCTGGCCTGCTTTTGTGTGTGTTGGAGACCTCATGGGTGCTTAATGCAATGGACTCTAAGCCAGAGAAAGAAACCAGGTTCTTAAGCTTCAGTCTGTGTAACTGTAGCTTTAGTTTTTGTGTTGTGTTTTTTTTTTTCCTTTTACCTGGGAGGCAGGGTATGGGTTCAGCGGGCTGGTTGAAGAGAGCTGTCTGTTGAAACCCTGATGCGTTTCAGAGCTAGAAAGCGTGAGAGGGCTGACGGGCGTTTGCCTCCGCCGCGAGGGGCCGCTCAGGTTTGTGGTGGAAAGGGACGGGTTGCTCCGGGAGAACGAGCGGAGCGAAGGGTGCAGCGCAGAGGCACTGGGGACCAATGTCTGCGGGTGGCTATTCAGGGAGGACGAAAGCGACGTCTTACTGAGTGTGGCTTGGATGGAGGGGTTACTCCGAGAACTCTGGAGACCTAGAAGACAACAAGTTCCCAAGTTATTCATCCTAAGTCCAAATCACATCTTTTGCTTTGCAAAGCTACAGAAAACAACTTTCTGCTCTCCATATTTGAACACTATTCTGCAGCTCCCAGAAATCTATCAGGAGGACCAATAACAAAGAAGAGGCGCATCTACACATAAATAGATGGAATCAGGATGTGAATAATTTCCTCCCCAAATCACTATGATGAGGAGAATCACCCCTGAGAGAGTGGGTCTGGGAATCAGGGGCTGCTGACTGCAGATGCTGATACAGACACCTCGGAGGATAAGGACCCCTGGGCTGGACTCCCTGTGTGGAGTCACTGAAGGCCTGTGGCCCAAACACACTGCCATGGAGGACCTGTCCCAGTACTATTCTCTCTCTGTTTTCTTGGCTGCCAGGAAGTTGATCATCATAATCTACTCCAGCTCAAGGGAGGGTAAGCTTCCACAGAAGAGCCTGCTCGGGCACAGCCCCCAGTGGAGGGCCTGTCCTGGGTCCACAGCCTCCCTGGCAGCTGACACAAGGCCTGGCCTGGAGTGGCTTCATGTGACTGTCCACAGTCTCTAATGTGCAGCCAGGGAGTAAGCAAAACTGTGCAATTTCACTTTAATAAGAAACTACATGTTTGATCACCTATTAGAACCCCAGACCATCTGTCTGAGGCTCACACCACGTTTTCCAAGTATACAATATGAAAAATAATAAGGGTTATAATAAATGTTGTACTGATAAAATTAAGAGACCCCCTCCCCCACAGTGGGCAAAAAATATTTTTAAAACATAGGAAAGCCGTCTATGACCAAACCTTGTCATATGTATCCCACACAACTCTGTGAAAATATCAGAGATTTATGAGGTCCAAATGAGAATTCCAGCTGCGGATGGGAATTTAGGTTAATAACAATTTATTCATAAAGAAAGCTCAAATCTCTGAAGTAAATGTGAAACCTTGTGCCCCATGCATTTTAAGGAAGATACAGAGGGTAAAAATACTTGGGGTTTGGGGCATCAGGGAGAAAACATGGTGGTTTTTAGCTAAAACATAGTGTCAAAGGTTCTTCTGGCAAATGTCAGTGTCTCCAAGACCTGCTGAGGCTGCTTGACTTCTGTGACACAGAATGCCCTTGCTCAGTCAGAAAAACAAAAATCCAAACCCACTGCATCGAGTTAGCTCCAGCTCACAGAGACCCTTCATCAAGTCTCTGAGCCTGTAAGGTGTCATGGAAGGAGACTGTCTTTCTCCTAGAATTACAGCAGGTGGATCTGAACTGCTGATCCTCCAGTTCACAGAGAAAAGTAGACTGTCCAGGCTCTGAATCTAGAAATCCTAAAGGTGTTGAGGGTTCCTGGTTTGGGTGTAATATATCAGACTGCTAATGAAACGATGGAGATTTGGGACCATTAGCTGCCCTGAGGGAGTCTCCTCTACTAGTCATTTATACCCTCCGAAACCTGATGGAAGGTTGCTCTGGGTCAGACTCGATGGCAGTGCATTTTGGTTGGACTTTGAACTTTGAAGCCAATTAAGTAAACTCAGGGCTGAGTGGTGTCTGCATTCTGGGCCCACAGAGCAAAGTCTGAAATACACTGCACCCCAAACAGCACCACCTGGCCAGATCCCACATTTCCTCATTGGGCTTGGCCACACATGACTTGATTATGGAAAATCAAAACCCACATTCAGTGGATGAAGACTTGCTATTATTACAGATACTAAAATAACAAAACAAAAAAGGCGGTCTCTGAAATCAGTTCCTCAAACACAAAGCTGTGATGCACAAAGGCAGCGTCACTGCTGTTGTTAAGCAAGTATGTAGTGTCCACCCTGCAGGCAAAGCTCTCAGTAGGTGGGCAAGTTCAAGTGCCATTGTTTACTGTAGGACCTGGGTCAGAAAGGGGCAAACACGTCCTCCACTTTAGATCATCCCCAAAGATCCCTTCTAAGCAAACATTCGAGATCCAGTTCTCAGCAGGACTGTGACAGCCAGGGATTCTTAACCTCACAGGGTGAAGGGATTAATGTCTCCTTTAGACATCAGTTAGGGCATGGCAGTGACTGACAGCAAATACAGTCATCTTTCAACAAGGGGCATGGCTGTGGCAATCAAAGCCATATAGTAATATCCCACACACGTCACAGGTAGCATTTTAATACACCCGCACACCACTTTTTTAAAGTACTTCTGAAAATGGGAACCCACAATCTTCAGCTGTAATACACAGTGTATTGCAATGTCAAGCTGGAGACCACACACCGATAAGTCTCTGATTTAATGACATATTTAAGTTACAGAGACCTGCACTTTCATCTGTCCATCTTCAATTTTGGGGAAGATTACTACAGACAGTATTGCAACGCACAATCAGGTGATGTTCTCACAGATGTAATGTGTGTAATCTTCAAAGACAACATCAAGATAAAATTTTAAAAGATGTTGATAATAAGTAATAAAGTGAAAGTTTTTTTAAAAAATTAAGGCTTTTGTACTTGGGGTGGTGGGAGGGGTGCGGGGGGATTGTGTACCAGGGAGGGAGTCTTTCTTTTACTTTTGAAAGAGAGGAGCAAACTGGGGGGCTGGGGGAGAGAGCTGGGCGGGTAGAGAAGTGCAGCAATGAATGAATGGAAATCCAAATTCTCTGTAAATGTTCATTAAAATTATAAAAAAAACCAACCAATATATTTTAATTTTGCAAATAAAGTAGTAGAAAATTTTAAAAAAGGGGAAAAAAATGAAGGCTTTGACTTACATCAGGACTTAGGACAATATACAATAAGAGTTTGATTAGATATTATAACAAATTATATTAATCAATTATAATTAATGGCATAAAGCAAAATGTCTATGAATGGATGAAAAACAAATATTATTTGTAAATGTTCCCTCAAATGAAAATAAAAAATAACTGACGAGACAGTAGTGTTAGAAAGTAACTCCATTCTAAAATGGGGACATGGTGTATATTAAGTATAAATATTTAATCTGCATCTACTGTGTATTTGTATAGATTTGCAAAATTCTTTTTTGTAATCCAGGGGTAACGGCAAGATCTACAGAGAGAGCCAGTGAAGCCCTGGTGGCACAGTGGTGAAGTGCTCAGCAGCTACCTGCAAGGTCTGTGGTTGAAAGCCACCAGCCACCCTGCAACAGAAAGATGAGACAGCCGGTTTCTGCAAAAGATCTGTGGCTTTGCAAACTCTACAGGATCCAGGATTGTTCACTCTATCCCACGTTCCTATGAGTCAGCCTCAGGTGGAGGCAGGGGTTTGGGCTTTTTCTTTTAAAAGCCACTCTAATTGTAACATATCCTGACATGTTATCTATCTAATTACAGAATATCAAATATTGATTAGAGTCACCACCTTGTCTAGCTGACCCTTATTTCCTGACTTTCCGAGCACATGGACACACGGGCTGAGAAGAAACAGACCACGAGGTTCCACAGAGCTGGGCTGGAGCCCCTCGTGTCCCTCAGACGAGTAGATGGATCCACCAGGAATAGAACCATCAAAGCAAATGCTATCTCCAGCTCAGGTAAAGCCATCCTCACTCAGCAGTGCAATGAAGAGGCCTGTGGCTGGGGACTCCACGCTTGAGTCATAGGGGCTAGGGCTAAGATACGTACCAGAGGAGCCTCTTATCCCCAGGTGAGTCATGGCGGCCGGGAGGTTGCCCACACTGTTCCCCATGCTCATACTCCCAAACAGGTGGTCGCCGGTGTCCAGGGAGGCCGGTAAGGGCTCCGAGTAATGAAGGTTGGTTAAATCTGGCAATGACCCCCCAGTATTTAGGGTCCCCAGAAAGGGTAAGAGACCTATGTTTTGACCATTGTGTGGAAAGGCACTGAAAAAAAAAGAAAGATCAGAATGACATTCTAGAATGCATTTAGTTGTTGAGAAAAGTGATCTGTAAAACAAAGCTAAACAGTGAATATCTAAACCCCAAGCTTTACTGTCAGTTTTGCCTCTTCTTTGCTCTGAGAATTTAGATCCTTGGCTTATCTACTCTGAAGTACAATTTTCTTACCTGTTAAATTGGGGTAATACTGTACCAATGGCCATTTTACAGAAATATTTTCAAGGGAGCTCTGGTGGTCTATTGGCAAGAAGCTGCTCTGCAATCCCAGAGGTGCGTGGTTCAAATCCACCAGATGCTCTGCTGGAGAAGGAGGGATAATCTCCTCCTGTACCAGTCAGATCCAATTTGATGGCACACACACAACAAATATTAAAATAAATTTTTTTTAAAAAAAGAGAAATATTTTCAAGGGCAGATTAGATTATAGATGCCAAAGTACTTTGATAGTGATACAAAGCCTCAATCCAGGAGGTACAGTGGTTAAAGCGCTCAGTCACTAAACAAAAGACAGCAGCTTGAAGGAGGAAGAGGCGGCGGCCTCTCTCTCCTCTCCCCCCCAATGACAGATGTCCCTGTGCACCGTCAAGTGGGACCTGATCCACAGCTGACCCTCGAGGGGGTTTTCAGAAGCAGTAAATTGCACAGGAGGAGACTGCTCATTTTTCTCCCTGCTAGTGGAGCAGCTGTTGGATGTGAACCCTGTACCTTTGTGTTGGCAGCACAATGTCTTACCACTGAGCCACCAGAGCTCCCTCTCATAACGATGACAATCAGGAAGCCCCCGGGGAAGTTCCTCTCTGTTCCGCAAGTCTTTATAAGGCACAATCAACTCAGGGGTAACGGTGGGTTTTTTAAAAATGTAAAATGTGAGCTACTTCTCTATAAGATTCTTTATGCTGTATTTTTATACTATCTTTTTCTCTTCACATTCTCCTCCGCACTAAACTCCACTACTTGTTTTGTTGTTTTTTTTAAAAAACCAAACTTTTTTGGAAAATAGATCTTTCCAAGATGTTTGGGGCATTTTTTTTTAATTAAAGTTGTCATAAATTTTAAAATGAGAAAGAGATGTTGCCAATCATTTGTCAAGCTGCTGGCTGTTCTCTGTGTGCCAGGCACAAGCCACGAGCTGGAGGGACGATGATGAATGAAGGAGGTGTATGTGTTCACGGCCAGGCTCCCACTAACATTTGCAGGCCTGGAGCAAGAGTACAAATGGAGGCCCACACGCCATCTGTTTCAATTTTCAGAAGTTATAAATCAGATGTGCAAACTCTTAAACAAATGCTCTCTCTTTTGAGCTTGACAAATTACACCTTCACGAGAGCCTGGAGGGCCAGGTTCAAATTTAGCATTTTTAGACTCTTTAGGGTTCTGTGTTAGAATGTACCACAGGGCGAGGCAGCCCCCAGTCCTAATCCACCCCCTTTTCTTCCCACCTGGAGCTCTGTTCTGCTCTGTAGAGCATGTGGAGATCCCAACCTACATGGCCAAGCTCTGTCACACCACCCAAGGTCCCTAGACCCCATGTCAGGCCCAGGGAGGGCATGGGCAGTGCGGTGTGGCCCCCAGTGCCCTCTAGCCCAGGTCTGAGTGGGTACTGTTTCAGAGTTCACAGGCAGCCAGGGGCGATCTACTGGTAAAGCTAGCAATTGCAATTTGGTCAGATGTCGGCTATACCAGGTCTGAGAAGGGGTATAATCAGTGACTGGTCACGCAAAAGTCAGAGTTACCAATGCTGGAATAGGGTGGGGAAGGGAAGACTTTCAAGGACATTCATCAACTGCAAGCAGTTTGGCAAAAACAGAGGGTCGGATTTACCGTCTGGATGTAAGCAAACAAGGGGAGCAGAAGAGAGAGGTGGAGGAGGCAGGAGAGAAGGGAAATGTGGGGGTATGACACATTTCCCTGAAGAGTCTGAGCTTGGGACTTTGGAAAAGAGAGCACCAGGTATAAGCTGAGCGATGGCATTTTAGAAGATCCTCTGTTGTCACAGTGTGGAAGACGGCTCACGGGAGTTGGAACTAGAGGCATGGAAAGCAACAGGCTCGTGCAGTGGTCTGGTCGGGCCTAGGACACAAGCAGTGAGGCTGAAAAAGGGGACTGGCTGGAGGAAGGTGCCATTCACTAGGAGCAGAGAGCTTAAGACAATGAACTCAGCGCAGGACAACACTCCATACAGCACCCCAGACAAGGTGGAAAGATGCATAAAGAAACAATTTGCAGTAAAATACAATTCAACAGAGCCAAGCTACTACTGGTAGCTTAGAGTGTGGAAGGACTGACTAGAAGGCAGGAGGAGGTTTCTCAATGAAGTGACATCTGGGCGAAGTTTGAAGGTTAAACAATTCCAGTGATGGGCAGAGTCCACAGAGTGCTCTAGAAACAGTCAGAACTTGACACTGCAAGAGGGTCGGGTTTTGGAGCTTGGGCTGTGATGGGCATGACATGAGAAAATGGAGCTGAGAGCACACAGGGCTCAGGATGACACACGGATGAAAGGAGGGTTTAAAGAAGGAAGAGACAGCCATAGGCATTCCCGAGACAGCGTGGCTAAGACCGGGAGGGAGGGATTGGGGCTACCAGAAACAGAACCCAGAGGTGGAGAGGTGAGTCCGTCATGATGCTGCTGCCTAGTCTAACGAGCTAATGTGGGTTCAGTGGAGAACCAACTAAGAAATGACAACAGATGTAGACTAAGGATAAAAGCTAGATGGGGAAAAAAATAACTAATTCTATTTTAGAGACTGCATTTTGTGATCTGGTAAGACAGCTAAGTGTGGACATATCTTGCTCAGTTGAGTATGGGAGGCAAGTGGCATTCTTGAGGGCAGGACCACTGAGCAGGGGTGGAAGCCAGGCCACAGGGGGATGAGCAGTAAGGAAGGTTCAAGAGTAAATGTTCTTTCAAGAAACGTGGCAGGAAATTCTGAAAATGAGAGGAACAAAGGCACTAAAAGGGAACACAGGGCCAAGCAAAGACTTGTTTAGCATGGAATGCTTGAGTGCATTTAAGTGCAGAGAGAGAACCGAGTGGAGGAGAGGTTCTGCTGATGAAGTGGGAGGCAGGTGCTGAGGTAAAGTCTCAGAAGAGGTCAGGGTGACAACTGTCAGAACAGGAGCAGGTGTAAAACTAGGTGTGTGTCCCTGAGACAAGGAGAAAAGGATGGAGAAGGATGAGGGCCACGAGGAAGCGGTACAGTGCATTCAACCCGACAGTCTGTTTCCTTAGTAAAAGTAGGAGTCAGATAAGGTTTGCAAAGAATTGAGGAAGGATGGAGAAGGCACTCAGGGTGACAGGTGAGAATGATGGATGATTTGGGTTGAAGGAAGACCCTCAACCTGCATTATCTGGTCTTTTTAAATGTCTATGTGTGGAAATGGTGATAGGGTCAAAGGTGAAAGACTAGAGAAAACAAAGTGGGACGCAGAGCTGCTTGCCATGACAGCCAACAGCCGACAGCACCTGACAGAAGAGTGGGTGAGGTGGAACCAATGGGGGAGGAGGTGAGGAGAGAGGGCAGGAAACAGGTTCTGTGACACAGAACCAGGATCAAGGGGGACTGAAAAGGCTCATGTGACCACAGTAGTGTGGTTGAGTGCATGGAGTCGCTGCTGACCGGCAGCATGGAGCCCTGTCCATCCGTCCTCACCGTCTCTGCTCTGCATCAGCCCATGAGGGAGGTCCTGCAGCAACCCACCTCGTGGAGGGTCTGCCTCCCTTTCAATGAGCCTATTTCTCCAAACATGCTGTCTCTCCATAGTTGGCTCAAAGTATGTGATTCTCTCTCTCTTTCACTGCTGTGGATTCAGCAATTCACAGCAAATCCTCCAGGAGGCTTTTGTAAAAGTACACATCACACAAGAGGTTGATCATCTCTCTCCTGAGAAGCAGACAGATTCAAATTTCTAGAGAGGTGCCACCTCTGGGTTAGAGCTTCTTATACGTGGTGTTGTTGTTGTTGTGTGCCACTGAGGTGAAACCAACCCAGAGCTGATCTCCATGGGTTTTCAGAGGCAGTAAATTGCATGGGAGGAGACTGCCCATCCTTTTCTTGTGGAGAAGCTGGTAGATTCAAACTGTGCCTCTTTGGGATAACAGTGCAGCTTCTTACCGTTAGGCCCAAATACACTTACTAGCTACTGGAGTCATAGATTTAATCTACGGTGTGGCAGGCAATGTTTGCCTCATTTCTCTTTCTACTCAGATTCAATTCAAGCCCCTCACCAGGGCTATCTGATGTGACTTGGCCACAGCACTTTGCTGACTATACATGGTATTACTTTCACTCTTGTTCACTCCACCAGCCCATCTCTCTACAGGAACACTGTGGCCTCAGGGCCTTTGCACTTGCTTGGCACTCTCCTCCCCTTCACATACTTCCAGTTTGTGGCCACAGATCACCTTCTCAGAAAGGCCTATCCCCTGGCCTGGTCACTGCCAATCTTCCTGCTCTGCTTCCTTTTTTTCCTCTGCCCTTACCTATAAGCCTCTTTGTGGGTTCAAATATACCAGCAGCTCTGAGGGTGAAAGATGAACAATCTCTCCTTGTGCAATTTACAGCCTTGTAAATCCTGCTGGAGGGTCTGAGTTAGTTATAACTCAACATCAATAAGTTTAAGCTTTAAAACATATTGTTGTGTACCATAAAGTTAGAATCAACTCACAGTTGAACCTCCATGTGGGTTCTCAGAGGCAGTAAATTGCACAGGAAGAGAATGCTCATCTTCCTCTCTTGGAGCAGCTGAGAGATTTGAACTGTGTACCTTCGCATTGGCAGTGCAATTCCTTACCACCCAGCCACCTTTGTTTACTCGGTTTTGCCCATCTTTCCCCACTATCATATCAGGTGCCTGAGCCAAAACTGGTTCTTGAGGAAAATCTTTGTCCTATCTGTGGCTTGTCCTTCATGTTAAGTAGAATGATTACCTGTCCAGGTGATACACCCTGGAAAGCTCTTTAGTTTCTAAAAAGAAAATCAACCTTAATCTCAGCTCAGTGAACTGTTAAATTGAATAAGTTTATATTCACCCAGCCAAAAAGAAGGTCTTCTCTCCAGGTACTCAGTAAGGACTGCACTGCTACAAATTACTCATTCAATGCTTTCCAGAAAGAACGAAGATTTAGGGTTGCTAGGAAAAGCCTGGTCAGAGGCTCCTGTTAGGATTATAGCTAAGAAAACCTTATGAGTCAGAACTGAGGGCAAAAGGTTTGGTTTTGGTTCAAGGATACTTAGTTATACGGCCCACCCACTACCGTTGTGCTGCCTCCAAAGTAAAACCGCAGGATGGCGGAGAACCTCCTCTTTCTCCCCGAGGAGGACTGGTGGGTACCCCATCTTTGATCCACAGAGGGACTGGTGGCTCCAGTACCTGACCTTTCCCTCAGTGCCTGGCACTTGGTGCCCAGCACTGTGCTACAGAGGCTCCTATTCACCAAGTTGTTGTTAGGCGCTGCTCAATCAGCTCTGACACAGTGTCCATATGGAAAAGTGGTCCAGCACCATTGTCTCCACCTCTGCTGTGTTTAAGGCCCACTGTTGCCACAACTGTGTCAGTCTACCTTGTGAGGGTCTTTCCCTTTTTCGACAACCCTCTACTTTACAAAGAATGACTGACCCCTTCTGATAACATGCTCAAAGGATGTGAAATGAAGTTGCACCATCCTTGTCTTCAAGGAACATTTCTGGCTGTACTTCTACCAAGACCAATTTCTCTGTTCTTTTGGTAGGTGACAGTATAGTCAATAATTTTTGCCAACACCACAATTCAAAAGGATCAATTTTCCTTTCATCTTTCTTTGTCCAATTTTTACATGCATATGAAGCAACAGAAAATACCATGGCTTGGATCAGATACAGTCTTTAAAGTGGCATCCTTAGTCTTCAGCATTTTAAAGAGGTGCTTGGCAACAGATTTGCACACTGCAACACATTACTTGATTTCTTGCTGCTTTCATGAGCACTAATTATGCTCCAAGTAAAAAGAAACCCTTGACAGTGCCCATCTTTTCTCCATTTATCATGATTTTGCTTGTTAGTCCAGCTCTGAAGATTTTTGCTTTCTTGATGTTGGCTGAAATCCAAGGTTGGATCATCTTCATATCACACTTCCTATCAGCAATGGTCTCCCTTGTTCTTTGTCCTCTTCTGAGTTCAGCTTGAATTTCTGGTAGTTAGTTACCTGCTGATGTACTGGAGTTCTGGTGGCCTAGTGGCAAGAAGCTGAGCTGCAATCCTGAAGGAACACAGTTCGAGGCCACCAACTGCTCATGAGAGAAAAATGGGGAATCTCCTCTCATGCAATTAACTGCCTCTGAAAACCCACCGGAGGGTTAACTACGGGTCTGACTCTATGATACACAACAACAACAACACAAAACCCAAGTTCCCTGGTGAAGTACTGCTCTAGATATTTCAAAATTACCTTTGGCAGGATTTTATTGATGTGTGATATTAATGATGTTGTTATTATGTGCAGTCCAGTGGCCTGCGAGTCATCATACACAACAACTATGAACCCTGTTCTGTCCTGAGCCAGGTTTGACTGTATGTGTGAGCAGTTTTAGGCTGCAGAAGCTCAATTTTTTGTTTTAGTTGTTGTTGCTTAAATTTGAATAATAATAATCATATTAACAAAACTTTCCTGTATGTATGTGGGAATTATCTTCTCAAGGACAATAGTGTACTTCAGGACAGATCTTGACATTTTCTTTTCTATGATGAATGCTGTGCTATTCTTCAATTTCTCATTTTTGGCATAGTAGACCATATGATTTTCAACCATCACTTGTCTGTTAGTTCACTGTAGAGCCTCTGAAATGTGCTCAGTCAGATCATTCAAGAAACTCATGTTCAAACATTACTTTATCCCCTGGAAGATTTGCTGGTTCTGAATTTGCTTTGATACCAAGCCATGAAAATGTATGGTAGGGCACACAGTGGTAAAAGGAAGCATGAAGCTTCCTCAGTGCCCTATCGGGACACTGCCTATTAAATCCCCAGGGGTCTTCTCTGTGACAATTTGTGGGAGACAGTTACTATAGCCTTTGGCGCCTTGGCCTAGAAATGGTCTTTATCATTTAACTAATTTCACTCATCAGCAACCTCGCAGGGTTGTCTGTTAATTCATGAGCTTCATTATCTCTTGCATCTCCTTCTTTTCCCAACTTCCTCACTAACTTAGCTTTCAGTCTTTTATACTCTATGCATTTTTACAAGCTGTCAAAAATCTCTTAAGGTGTAAAATGGAGTATTATTAAATGTTCTAACTAATTAATGGATTTATAGGCACTCTCTTCATTCACCTACACGCAATCAAGGGGTCAGATTAAATGACGGTGTCTTTCTCTTCTAGCAAATATGGCAACTGATGTCCATGGCCTGAGGGGCTGGTGGGCTTGTCTCTAGAACACCTATGTGTATGTGCTTCTGCTTCTAAACCAATTGAGATGCGCATATTCCACAAGTCAGTTATGTAATTCTCAGGCAAATTTATGGCAACTTCATAAGCTATGGAATTCAATAATTTCAAGTCAAATAAACATGGGTACAGAAAAGTAAATAATCTTTTTCATAAAGATTTCACTGACTTTCCATTTCTAGCTATAAATGACCAGGTAAGATTCCCAGTGCTCTATGATAAAGCAGTAGGACTCGCCTCTTGGGAGAATCTTCAAGCCAGCCACGGAGACGTGAACAGAGAGATATTACTTACTTGCCACCTCCAACATCACAGGATCGAGGGCGCCCAGACAGGTTCTGAATCTGGGAAAAGACATGGAAGGGTTGGCTTACACATTATGAATTCAAAGGAAAGTTTTTTTACAAAAGGGTCTTTGGTCTCTAATGAGAACAAGTGAGGGCACAATGAGCACACATAAAGAGCACCCAAACATGACAGTCATTTAAATTTAGACTGTTGTTGTTATGTGTCTTCAAGTTGCTTGCAACTCATAGCGACCCTGTGTACAACAGCCCTAAACTCTGCTCTACCCTGTGCCAATCTCACTGTCCCTGACACACTCAGACCAATTACCCCAGTCACTGAATCAATCCACCTCCTAGAGGGTCTTCCCTGTGCTGTCCCTCCACCTGCCCACCCACTAGACATTTAAAACTCCAGGTGTAACTTCCAGTTAGGGGAAAGGGGATTAGACTAGTGTATTTATTTAATTTAATGCCTTAATTAATTTCTCTTTTACATGACTATTATTTCCTACCCCAAAGTCAGAGTTTTACAGACAGAACTCTTAAATAAATGTTCCTTTTCCAACTCTGGGGGAAAGAGGAAAATGAGAAGATTAAAGTATAAAGAAAGGCATCTGAGAGAAAAATGAAAATAGTGGAACAAAACAGGGTGAAGAAAGAAGAAATGAACGTCAGAGTGCATAAAGACTTCCATTAGGAGGAAAGAATACCGCAGGAGGGCAGGCATTTCTGTTCAATGTATCTTGAAATGCCAGCAACAGGAGCTCAATCAACACACGTTAAAAACTCCTCGGGCTGAAATCTCTTCCAACAATGGGAGATCAACACCTCTTTCCAAAGAGTGTCACCGGCTGATGCTGGAGAGGACACAGCGACATCTGATAAAGCTCCCCAAACCTTCGGAGTCTCCTACATCTATGCTACAACAGCCTGGATGCTTCTCCTAAACTTAAACAGCTGAATTTGAAATCGTATCTTTCCTGCTTAAAGGATTAATATCAACTACATTTTTCTTTTAAAAAACAAACAATAAACAAACCATAAGAGACTTTTTAGACCACCTTAATGCTAACAACTTTGTTAGATTTGGCAGAAGAAAATTAGTCTGGACCAAAGGGATGTAAACCAGATAAGATGGTGAAATGCAGACACAATGTGTCTGAATTGAAAGGGAGCCTCAGTAAGGGATGCAACTGGCTGCTGACTTTCAAAGTCAACAGACTTCTCTTGTGGCAAGGAAGGCCAAGGTAAGACCCTTGGTAGCCTTGGTAGCCCTTCTCCACTGGGTACGGCTTACAGAGAGAGTCCAGGTGGAAGTCAGCCAACACAATTTTACAGCCACAAACTCAAAGGCTCATGGAAATCCTAGTGAACTAGAAGACTTTTAGAGGCCACAGGCTCTCAAATGGCTGTCACAACCCCATCCTATCTCCACACAGGATGACCTTGTTACCCAAGGAGAACACTCCTAGAAGACTCATCAAATGAGCCTTGGTGGCATAGGTTGTTACACGCTAGGTTACGTAGAAAGATCAGCAGTTAATATCCTTCAGTCACTCCATGGAGAAAGCTGGGCAGTCTGTTTCCGTAAGGATTTCTAGCCTTGGAAACATGAGGGAGGGTCATCGTGAGTTGGATGTGGCTCGTGGCAAGGGGTTTGGGTTAAAGAAAGGCAGATCTTGTGAATTAACAATCCTGGACAGAAGTTGGTGATACAAGAATTGGCTACAAAATGGAAAACCTCTGCCTATTGCTTGGAACCAGATTTCTGAATGTTTAGTAATAGAGATAGGATGTACGGAATAATAGGTTGTTCTGCCTAAGTTAACAAGAGAATTGAGAATTCCAGAGAACCCTTTACTACTGATCCATACAATTACCGAGAATTCTTTTTTGAAGTGTCTGTCCTTCCTATATTCTTCTCTTCTTTGTTCCCATACAATCTTCTTTCCCTCCACCCCCTCCCCACCACCCCTTAGTTCATTCTTCTGCAGGATTTACCATGACCTCTGAAATGCAAACATGCAGGGGACATGGAGACACACACACACACACACGGCTGAGAACTGCTCACCCACCTCCTTGGTCTCCCATAGCTGCTTTGGCAGTGGCTTGGGAACATTTAACAGATTCTCTTCTTTCAATGGGCCAGGGAATGATACCACTAAAGTAGGATGGGGAAAAACACAACATATTCATTGCATTAAAAGGTGTCCATTTCATACTAGAGCAGAATAATTATCTCTGTAAAAATGGATTTATTTCATATTTATTAATTGCCTACAAGGGAAGGTGCTTATGGGTCCCTATGGGAGTTTCAGGCATGAGTAAGGCATGGATTTATCGCTTAAGGAATCTGTAATCTAGTTGGGAGATCACGATACACCACAAATAACCCTGATATACATGAGGAAGCAGGAAAAGCCCATGAGAGCTGAGGACACAGTGCTTTGAAAGGCAGAGGAGGAGGATAAGGCCAAGGACAATCTCTGAGGTGAACACCAGGAACAACCCTTCAGAGACACAAGCAAAGGGCATTTGAAGACAAGAAAGTTGTGGATGACTATCGAGAGAACTGACGTGTAGGACATTAAGGGGAGTGATAGGAACTAAAGTTGAAAAGGTTGAGGTCAGACAAAGGAGGGCCCTGGAAATTTAGTGAGAGAGACAGTGAAGGCAGAGAGGTTGAAGGGAGTCACTATCATCTAGGAATGGTGAAAGGAAGAAAGAAAGGAATGGAGAAGAGGTGTTATCATAGGGGAGATGCAGCAGGGGAGCTACTTGGTGATGGCCTGAGAATGGGGGACAAAGACTTGAGTCTGAGCAGCTGTGGGGATAGCCACTGGTCCTTCAACGCTAGATAAAAAATCCACTTCTCCACAAGGGACTATCCCAGGGATTTCTGCATTAACATTTAGTCCTGCTGAGTAAAACAGAGTGGTAAGCTATAAAACAAGAGAAAAATGTTTGTTCTCAGAGAGAGCGGGACAAGAAGTAGGGCTCAGTAATTGAGAGATACGATGTCAGGAGTGGAGTGTAGTCTACAGGTGCTAATAAGAACCATGAATGCTGTTAGGTTTTGGTGCCCAGAAGCTCTGCTGTGACTGTCACATCTGGCCCACATTCGTCCCACACAGGACAGCCTTGGGAGCCAAGGCTAAAGAAGTCACCTGCACTGGGACCAAGATTTCAGAGTAAACTCTAAGCAGGTTCATACAATGAGTATAAAAACTCTAAATTAAATTTTACTTATATTTAATAAAATAAGCAATATTAGCAAGTAATTAATGTTGGTGAGGATATGAAGAGATGGAACTCTCATACACTGCTGGCGGGATTGAAAAATGGTACAACCACTCTGGAAGGAAGTTTAATGTTTCCTCGAAAACCTGAACATAGAAATTCTTTATGACCCAGCTATTCCACTATTGGGAACATATTCCAGGGAAAATAGAACTGAGACACAAATGGAGATTTGTACACTGATGTCCAATGCATCATTATTCACAACAGCAAGAACACGGAAATGGCTCAAGTGTCCATCAACAAATGAATGGATTGAGAAATTGTGGTACATTCACACAGTGGAATACTATGAAGCATTCAGTAGTGATGACTTCAAAAAAGTACTACATAACATAGAAGATACTGGAGAACATTATGCTGAATGAACTAACTCGGGCTCATAAGGACAAATACTATATAAGACTATTATTGTAAAAATAGAAGAGAATTCGTAAGATGTCTATGAAAGTCCAAGGGGGAAGGAGAGGGAACTGGGAAGATGAGAGACGGGAGGGAGGAAATCATGGGGGTCATAGAGTTTGGTGGGTGGAGGGAGGGGTGAAGCAATTAGAAGAGATCGAGGGGGACCTGAAAAGAATGGGTAATGGCTGGCATCAATCAATGGTGATTACATAAAACACAATGTGAATGAAAGAATGTGTTAAACACAATGTATGTGAATTTTGTGTGTGAATCAATATAAAATAAAATTTTAAAAAACCCAACATAGGATATAAATGTAACTATGAATGCTTAGAATGAATTAAGTAATGACGGAGGAGTCAACTGCATTGACAACACAGAAAAGAACACAGGCAATGTTCTTCATGGGTAGCCTTCATGATATTACCACAGTGGCGATTTCTGTTTAAACATTCCAGTTTTATCAGCTTTCCTAGCACATCTCTAAATATTGATATGCAAATAACTTGTTTGAAAAATTTTGTGTTCCCCCTCCCCCAACATCCTTGTAGATTTCGTTTTCTTAAATGCCATCTGGTCTAACTGTTAACAATAATTTGCTTCAGGAACGTTAAGCTCCATGAAGATGAGCTGTTTTATTCATTGCCGAGTAGGTTCTGGATGGTGCAAAAGGTTAAAATTCCTGCTGACGAAGGTTCCGTTACATCCAGAGGAACTCCAGCAGAAAGACGTAGTGACCTGCTTCTCCAAAGTCAGCCACTGGAGGCAGCCCACAAGGAGTCCGTTCTACTCTGACACCTTTGGGGTCACAGTAGACTGGAGGTGATTTGGTGGCAGCTAAAAAAGAGGAATGCTTTAAACAGTCTAAAATTTAAAAGTGATCCTATGAAAGAACCTCAACAAACTGGAGGAAAGACTCTGAGAGCTGTGGTAAGCCAAGCCAATGGAAAACTTCTTTAGAAAAAAAAAAAATAAATGACTCTAAAAGGTATAGTTGGTTTTCAAGGCCTGAATGAGGGAGGTTCCTAACTCAAGTCTACTTTTCACGTGAATACAGTTTTATTCACTGTTTACAGCTGTTTACATGAATACAGTTGATGCAGATTCCTTGGCTTTAATGGGGATTATTTTCTGCAGATGTTTGTTTTCTGTCTATTTTCATACTCAAGAATTGTTGTTCTTCAAAGAACTCATTCGGGTTAAGCAAATGACCTTAAAACCATTTCTTTACTTTCTGTCCGAATGGATTACATGTTTATTGCTGCTTTAAGTTTTCATCACTTCACTCATGGCCTGCAAAGGAGTGCCCAGAGAGGAGGAGGGAGGACAATGATGAGGATTACGCGTCTACTGAGGCGTCATTTCTCGTGAGTCCCTTTCTCTGCCACATATAAACTCAATTTTAAATTTCAGATTATACAGAATTTTGCAAAAAGAAAGCAGTGCTTAGTAATGAATGAATATATGGGCTATGTCAGCTCCACATTTGCCAGTAGCTTTGAGGGTCATTTCAACAAATCTCCACCATGACTCGACTAGGCTTTAAACTCAGCATCTTGTGCAGAATTTGCAACTTGATTTTGCAATCCATGTGCCTCTTCCTTGCTGTGTTTATTTATAACATATGCCAATTACTGACTCATAAAGACCTTCTGGATGGTGAGAGACAGAGGGGTTGAAGAGGAAAGACATGTGAATAAAGAGGGGTTGAAGAGGAAAGACATGTGAATAACTAACTGTTTAAGTGACCAGTTCATGAATATTTTCATGCGATTATGGCATTTGCTTCCCCACAGCCTTGTGACTGAGAGGCAGCGGGGGCTTGGATAGATAGCTGTGAACCTCTGTATATGAATTACTCATTTTAATTCTTGTGGCTTTGATTATGGCTAGTTTTCATTTCAAAGGACACTTTAGAAAAGCAAGCCAGCTGACAGGTGTCTGCATTTTAGGAAGTCTTGACAATATGAGTCTTCATGAGTAAAAATGCTGAAAGAAAGGTTAAGCGGAAATATCAGTGTCCCACGGGAACACGGATAGATCAAAGCGACATACCTTCCCCATGCCCATCATTCTCACCATCACAGCACCCTAGCAGGGAAGAAAAGGAGAACTTTAATGTGGTGCTATCATTTTATTTCTTGACGTAAAACAGGGTTTTCAAAATTCCAAACTAATTTTGGTGCAGGGTGTTTCATCAGGATGAAAATAGATAGGGTCAGGCGAGTCCTTTAAGCATCTCAGTTCAAGGTTTTCTAGTGTCCCCATCCTGAGAGAACAATTTTTGCAAAGCGTGAGATTCTAAATCACAAAGTAAAGAAATGTTGATCGAAACTCTCCCCTAGATGTTTTCTCACAGGAGAAAAGGCAGGTAATGGAGGGGAAAGCTACAACAGCATTTCACGGGTGTCGACAGGAACTGAGGAAGGCTCATGATACATACTGTTTTTTATACAATTAACAGGCAAGTTATTTTTCAAAATATGGATCCCAAATCTAAGTTAATTTAAAAGGTGGATAGAGTTCTAGTTCCAAAGCTTACAAACCTGACTTGCAATAACTCCTAACTGAATATTTTAACTCATAACACATACTACAGATGACCAAGTATAGTATTTTCTATTGCTTCAAGTTAACAAACTAGACCAAAAATGCAATGTATTTGCATTTCATTTCTAGGAGAAAGTACATCAAATGACTTTTCAATAAAGAATCAAGCAGTTTTAAGTTCTAAGTCTTTAAAAATACAACTTACCTAAAGGTTACAGATGTTACTGGATAAGCTTAATCTGGAAAATAACCTTATTGGCGGATAATACTTAAGTAGTCAATAATCAGTCATCCAAAATAAACTTATTAAGTAGGTGGGTTAAAGAAGTACAGCTGGGTCATGTGGTGTGGGTGAGGAGGTGGACATGGATGCAAACTCCCTCACCTGTATAGAACGTGCACAGTTTTAGTGGAGGTCAAGGGCAGGGTAACCTGGGGATCCCCATGAACACTAAGACAGGCTAGGAAGTTGACACATTAAGCACACTAATGAAGAAAGACTTTCTCTCAGACCCATGGAAATGACAGCCAAGTGAGTGGTTCTCAAACTTTATTTCAGTGTATATAGCACTTGGACCAAGCTTCTAAAATGTAGATTCTTGGTCCTAACCCTCGAAAAATTTTGACTCAGAAGGCATGAGCATTGAGTCCAGGTATGTGCATGTACAATAATCCCCTCAGAGAATTGCAGATCCTCTGAGGTCTAGTCACAGACTTTCTGTTACCGGTTTAGTGTGAACTGTGGGTTCCCTACCCGGGGACCTTGATCAGTCACTTAATCCAGCGAAACACTTAACTCAGCTAAAGGAATGCCATGCCACCAGAAGACACATCAGAAAATGAGATGCAGAGGGAAGAGGCGGGGATTCTCCACTCAGAACTACTCAAAGGAGAGGAGCAACTTCTGATTCATAATGTGGCTTCCTCGGGACCTTTGCATTGGGAAGGGGGGGTGGACTAGACCATCTTGATTGGGTGGAACTACACCATCTTGATTATGAATAAGTGATTACTTTTAAGACAAATATCTTTAAAAAGCACAGAAGTCTGGCACGGTATGCTGAAGTATTGTTTTCATTATCAAGATCGCAGTCACTCTGGGTTAAATGAGTTAGGTCAGTTCTCAGGTCTGTAAGGCTGCCTGACTCTGGAACATGGGGACTCAGCTGAGGACTGCGGTGTGACTAGCAGATACCCCAGATGACTCCTCAGAATCTTCTCCTTCCTAGTGGAACAGAAGAAGTGTTCATGGAAGAGGTGGCGTCGAAGTTAGACACCAAACAGCACTAATAATAAAACAGCTTCCATTATTTGCTTACTGGCATAATCTGTAGGGAGCTGCACTGCTCGCCCAAAGGCTATGCCTCTTCAGTGGTTCAAATCCTCCTGGCTCTCCAGGAGGGAGATGGGCAATCGTCTCCTGTGCAATTTACAGCCTCAGAAACTTAAAGGAGGGTCAGCTCTGGCTTAGTTCTGAGTCGATGGCAACAAGAGGGTTTTGTGGGTGCAGGACCCTGCACTAAGTGTTTTACACAGATGATCTAATCCAATGGTCACAGTTACTCTGAAGCAGGAGTATATTATCATCTCCATGTACACATTGCTAGTAAGTTCCAGAACTGTAACTCTGGCCTGTGTGCCCTCACAGCCATATTCTGGAAAGGCTTACAGCCGCTGACGCTCTAAGGCTGATCATTCCTAATAAGCCAGCTGAGGCTGTACTGTGTTTCCAGGCCTGGGACACTGAAATCCCTCCCAGCAGTCTGGAACTGCTCTGAAAACAAGTGGTGGACAACTTGACCAGATTTCATCCTGAAAGAACGAACCCCCTGCATTTCAGCCTCTTCAATCTGGACCGTCCTGCCACCCGGCTCATAGTCCTTATGCTCCTCTTTCGACATGGGATGCTGCACCCCCATCTTCTCCAACCCTCAGTGTAACCAGGTGTCTACTGAATGAAGCCTTATTTACAGCTATTCTCCTTTAACTGTGTTAGGGAAAGCTGCAGGTCCCAGGCAGGTGCCCAGGGAAGAGGCTGAGGACTGCAGTCCCCAGGATGGCAACATTGCATCTAGGGTCCCACATCCTCGTATGTTTACACGCGTGAGATGATAACTAAGCTGCGTGTGCTGCCGGGCAAATGATCAACATTTTTCTTTATATATTCTAGAGAATTAAAACCACATGATAATCATCTTACTTGTCATATAAAAGTTTATTTCTGTCATTTATAGCAACTGCTTACCATTTACAACTAATTGTCATGCAGCCCGATAACCATTACGAAAATTACAGAACATATATCAGGCTAATGGCTTTATTTTCTTGGAACACAATCCTCCACTCATGAATGTATCACAGTTTATTACTCATGTAGTTAAGCTATGAACAAATGCTCCATAATTGCCCGCTTACAACCAAAGGGCTGGGAGATGGCAGGGACATTAAGCGAGGATACGTTGCTATGCCCAGGGAAGATTCTCAGGGAAAGAACATTTATTATTGTTTCTACTGCACAGCCTGCTTCTGGATTTCAATTACATTTCCATTACTTTTTCAATCTTTACTTTATTTGGTCGCCCCTATAATAAGAAATACCTTTTGCCAAGCTAGTTAGATATTTTAAAATCCTAAAGGAAAGAAAATGAAAGACTTTAATGTGTTGCAGGGGGAAAATACATGAGACTATTTTAAAATAGCTCCCACCAACAAATATAATTCTCCCGGAATAATTCCTATCCTTGGAGACTTGAATAATATTTTAAACACAACTGGCTTTCCCATGTAAACACGTCCATATTAGGATGTGTTTCTGAGTTCTGTTGTACGCACAGGGCTGCTGTGCAGAAGCCGGCACACAGCTCACCAGCTCAGGCCACACGCCCTCCATCCCACCTTCCATGGCAGCCAGATCTCATGGCCCAACAACTTCTGGCCATCGATTTTAAAAGGAGCGACCGCTGTGACTGGGAGCCCAGGCGTGGGGCTCCGGCTATTTCCTTGCTGCTCAGACTGTGCAGATCAACAGTGGCATTCCTCAGCTGTCTGTCATCCCTTCTCCTACTGTCGTCTCTTCCCTCTTCCCTCGGGTGTGCATCACTCTTAGCATGGTGTTGTAGGCCACCCCTGAGTCCATTCTGAATCACACTTGTATTTCAGTTTTAAATAGCTTTTAGATACTTTCTTCTCTCTCCCCATCAAAGCGTCAAAACTCCTTACTTGAATGACATGATTCCTGCGTTCTCAGTAGGCCTCTGACCCTTTCTAGAGACACGTGAACTCTGCACAGAACACAACGCAGAGGAAAGAGCAGCCGAGGCAGCAACACAGCAGCATTCTGGGGTCAGATCTACCCATCTCTTCCAGGCCAAGGGAGATCACGATTTTGCCGTACCCATGGGTACTCTCACTGATTACGCTCTTTGTTTCTTAGGCTTTGCTTTTATTTTTTTAAGAGACATTTTTTTCTATCTTATTCTAAAGCTAAGCTCCTCTACCCTCCCACACATCCCACTGCGCTTCTCTAGGCCGTGGACAGTGACCTGCATCCAATTCCAACATAACCCAACCGACAACAAGCTCACATTCCCACGGGCAAAACATGGCAAACGTCCTGGAGCAATTCTGAAAGCTCATGCTTTACAAGCAAGTGAACGTCTGGGAAACATGGTCATCTCTGAATCGCACCAAAGAAGACGCATAGTCAAAAATTATCATTAAGTGCGTACTCGGTCTCCTTGGAGCAGAGAATATTTAGTCTTCAAGCCATCAAAGAGGTAAAGAAAACCAAAAGGACTGATATAATCTCAGCCAACGATTTATTTTTTTCCATTTTAAGAGCAGACAGAGAGCTTTAAAAGTCTGTGTGTGAGGGTCAGGCAGCATATGAAATGCATAACTCAAGACCTTGTTTCATCCAGATTACAGTTTAAAAGCGATATATGATAGGGTATTATGGTTATGACAGTAGTCCAGAATGAAGGTTGCATAGTGGAATGTACAGGGGAGGGGAGATTGTATACCAATGAAGGAATTTTTCTTTTACTTTTCAAGGAGAGGAGCGAACTGTGGGAGAGGGGTGGGCAGGGAGAAAAGTGCAACAATGAATGAATGGCAATCCAAAGTCTCTGTAAACGTTCATGAAAATAAAAAGAAATAATAAATAAATAAAAGAAAAAGGGGGGGGGGGAGAAAGCTTTGAAAGACAAGTTTGAGATCTGTCCTGAATGAACTGGCTTCATTTCATGTACAGGTGAGATGTCAGCACCTAGGGTTTTAGTGAGCACTGGATACACTCAAGCTAAAGTCTCATTTCACCACACTGCTCCATCACGGAGTGCTCCTGGGGGGTCAGACACAGTGCTAGGACTGGAGATAATAAGACTTAGGGTGCCAACAGCAAGGAATCTATGGTCAGGCAGAAGAAAAGAAGCTTGTCCAGGTAAAAAGGCTGTCAAGGCAAGCTCTGGTGGCCTAGTGGCAAGAATCTGCACTGCAATCTCCTAGGTGCATGGTTCGAATCCACCAGATGGTCTTCTGGAGAAGGAGGGACAATCTCCTTTTGTACCAGTCAGATCTGATTTGACGGTACACACACAAAAAATAATAAAAATCTTTTAACAACCCCCCCCCAATAAAAAGGCTGTCAAATATCACTGGTGTTAAGTCAACCACCTCCAAGTAGGTGCTCGGGGCTGGAAGGACATGGGTAGTTCTGGCTTGAAAGCATGAGGAAGGGTAAGCATGGATCCACAGAAACAGGTATGAGCTGAGGTTCACAGACTGGGAAGTGCTGGACAGGGAGGCCAGAACGGAGTTAGGAGGGAATAGGGTAGAAACAGGATGAAACATTAATAGAACCCTAAGTTGTCAGTGTGACTGGCTTGGGGAGTGAGGCTGGTGAGGCAGAGAGCAGGAGGAGGGTCAGATCCTGGAGTTCTGGGGTGAGAAGGCAGGGTGGTTAAGCAGGAGAGTAATATGACCCCCCAGCGGTGCAGTTAAGAAAGCAGAAAGGCCTGAGTATGTCACTTCCCCACGCCTAGTCCTTTGGTCACTCCTGCCTTCTCTCCACCCTTTTCCTTGATCTGCCCGTTTATTCACTGGTCCCTGGTACCCAAGGGACCTGTAAAATGGGGAAGAAAATTGAGCAGATGCTGCTGAACTCTAATTCAACTCCCTGCTCTGCTCAGGTCTGTGGCCAACCTCAGAGAGTACACCCCTTCTATCTGGGTGATCCTCACCCAGGGCCACTGCTGCCAGGCACTGGAGGGGGAGCCTGTCTCGTTCAGGGACTGAGTCATGATCAGCCCACAGCTTAGAGAGAAGTCACTTCCTCTACCTTGGTCTTGCCAGGAATGAAGGTGGTATCTTGTCGCATCTGGTCTTACTTCTCAGTACGTTCAAATGCTGGGGAGTTGGGGGGAAGGAACTCTCAGGGAACCCAGCATCCGATTACATATGAGACAGGAAACAAGGAGACTCATTAGCACATTTTTACATGAGTTCATGCAGAAGATGACGGAAGGGCTACAAAATGGAAATGCAGCGGGGAGCAGAGGAAGCTTGAGAGCTGAGATGCCAACAAGGTAGCCTCTACAGTCCAGGAAGCAGGCAAAGTCCACCATTAGGTCCTTCCTAATCTCATTACGAAAACACAGTCACGAGCTTTGCCTCTGAAGACTACCAAACCAGGGAAGTGTTTATGTGCCGTCCAAACTTCCCCCTCTCAGTTCCTGTTGGACAGAAGGAGAAAGCAGCTGCTGTTGGCAGAGGTCTGAATGTCTTACCTAAGTACTGGGCTGGCCAGGCTGACTGGCCGCCTCCTCCGTAGGGGTCCTGGGGCTTGGTGCTCAGAGCACTCGTGTGAAGAGCAGAATCAGAATTGGTCCTAAGGAGAGGAAGAGAGAGGCTGGCTGAAAATCCACACTTCCTTAAGGAAAATGTCATTATTTTTGCTAAATATCAGTAACAAGACAGAAGGCAAGCAAAATTTATTTGTATTTAAAAAAAAAACCCAAAACGAACCCAACTAAATCCAAACCCATTCACAACCATCAACAAAATGAGGGTTTCAAAACTACGTGCAGGATCACTGGCAACGAAGCCAGCTTTAATTCGCACTCACACGGCTTCATGTTTTACGACTAACAGCACAATGAACTATTTCAGTCAGGTGGGCCCCAGTGTCATGGTTGCCTGCTAAGACCTTCTTATTTTGCCCTGGAACTTGGATCACTGTGCTAGAATAATTTTCTGTGGCTGTACTTGAGTTTGTCTACTAGGGAAGACCCAAGAACTGTACCTGTGTGAAGGACCACTTAGAGCAATGGTTCTCACATCCTTCGGGGGAACTGCAAGGTCAAGACTATGTTCAACAGGATACTAAGATGCAGAATGAATACTAAGTTCCCTTTCATGAGCATACATGGGACTTTTGCAGCACTTAACGTGTGAAATCACCATAGGCGGGACTCATAAACAGAAAATCCAGCTGCCTGGTTTAGAGGGATGTGTGAAATGCACGGAGCCACTCTTCTTGGAACATTTTTTTTTTAAATGTAATTGTGTTTCTTAAAAGATATATATACCAACGATGAAGTTTATCTTTTGCTTTTCAAAGAGAGGAACGAACTGGGGGGAGGGGAGCAAAGAAAAAAGTGCAACAATGAATGAATGAAAATCCAAAATCTCTGTAAATGTTCATTAAAATTAATAAAATTTAAAA